TCCTGTGAAAAGTGATCATTGATCATAACTTACTTCCAAGGTCTTAATATGAGAAGGTACGTGAAGACAATAACTTGAGAAAACGAGCTAGGTTTCGTGCGAATGAATTGATGCCCGAAGCAGCAGCGAAACTCAAAATGATCACAGGGAGTCCGAATTAGATAAAAGTGAAAGGTAAAAATAATTGAAAACAATCTAGGAAAAGTGCAGTACAATACGTTTTCGTGTTCACTAGTTTTCCTATGATATAATTCCGATCCCATTTGACTCTCTGGTATTTCAAATGCAAAATATTGTTCATATTATATAGCGATTTTATTTTCACCTTCCACTTTTATCTAAATTGGGCTGCCTGTGACAAAGACCAATAAGTTTATCACAAAACCTCGCTTTCGTGAATCAGTTACCCTTAAGTGGGCTACACTTAACTCCACCTACATTCCTGTACTTCGCATGCTCGAGGATTGACAGGATGCGAGAGATCGAGAGTGGAGAGTCAAAAGAGTAGATGTTGACGCGCATGCCCAAATCTTCATTTGTTATAGTATATAGTATTTCTTGTAGTAGACATTATGAGGTCGAGGGAAAAACTGGGCCGAGTTAGTATTGCAGTGTATTTGGGGGCTGTTTTAGGAGACGAAATAGACGCCATTTTGGAAATATGTTCCTCAAAAGAACCCCAAAACGCATTGCAAAGTGAAGTCAAGCCAGGTTTTTCTTCATCTTCTGAATCACTATTAGACATTTTGCTAAAAAAGGGCTTTCCTAATTTTCATAAATAAAACCAAAATCATCTTAAAATTTTTCTTGATAACTTTTCAATCGAGACATTGAAGGACTTGCTTATCTTCATATCTACACACACTCTATGGTGATTTTTATAATCCCCCACGCACTAACAACAACACAATTGTAGTTTAGGGACTAGTTTCGTCCGTTTATTAGGACCTGTTCAACCTAAATGAATCTAACTGAATGATAACGTTGCGATATAGTGTTTATACTCGTGATGAACGAGAGCGCGCGCAGTAAACTTGCGCGGGCTGTAAAAGTATAAGAAGAAAGAAAATTTACATTATAATTGTTCTAGGGATCTTGATTAAGTTCCATTCTGTTTTGTTGTTTATTATTTTATCTTGTTCTTCTCTGCTAATTTTAACAGACTCAGTTATTTGYCTCAACATTGCATCACCCTGAAAAGATCTTGTCACATTCATGGTGAAGTCTGTAATAAGCCCTTCGTGTTTCTCTTTGCAATGTCTACTTAGTGCTGRTGATTCGCCTTTCGAATCCAGTGCCATCAAATGTTCTCTTCCCCTAGTGTACGCGTTTCTTGCCGTCTCTCCGATATACTTATCGCCACAGGATTTGCAACTGATCTCATACGTTACATCTATAGCTCTGCAATTTCCCCTACCTACTGTTTGGCACACTAGGCAGTCTTCCTGTCCACAAGGGTCTTTCCTGAGCGAGTTTGACTTAAAATCTTAAAATTAGACTGAAATCTTGTTAATTGGATAATTATTTCATTACCAAGTGAGAGATGACTTTATTAGTAATGAGTAAGAGATATCAGAATTTACGAACATTTAAAATATGCAAAAAAACATGATGCTGGCCGTGTCTTTGTTCTGTTTCTATCTAATACAAATCTTTCTAATTTCACACTTTTCTCTTTGTTATTCATTGCATTTTGTCTTTAGCTCTTGACCTCATTGCTCATTCAAGAGCAATATATTTTAGTATTTCAGAGCAATATCTACATGTTACCCTGGGAAGCAGGACAATATCTGCATATTGCCTTTGAATTGGTAACAAGCAGGGCAACATGGGGTATAAATAAAGCCCTCTGAAAAACAAAGAAAACTATATGATAATACAAACGCGATGAATACGTGATATCAG